TTATTTGTAATGAGTTTTGCATATTTAATTGACATTATATTATGTGAAGCCTTACTAGAGTACTTTCTTATAGAAAATCATTAAAATGTTCAGTGGACTTTTAACTCCATAAGAATGATGCTATGACTACATTTATTAAAATGTGAAAAATTCTCATCAAATACATTATCAGTTTTTAGGTCAGCTTAAATTTATGTGAAACTACAGTATCTTGTGCTTTTTATTCATTAAGAAGTACAATTTGCTTAGCATAATCTGGATTTAACTTTATGCCTTATTTTTAAATATTAAATGTTTGTGGGATTTTCAGTTGTAGTATTTATCTTTCCACAACACTTTGGCAAGGTTATAATGGCATGACATTACTGCCTGGATCTTTTAAAATTAAATATGGACACAAAGATAGTGCTTACAGAATATATGTTTTTTTAAATCAAGACAAAATTATAACAACTTTCTGTCTGGTTAGAATTTTAATCATGATAACATTTTACATTTTTGAAGATCTTTATTGACAGAATTCTTTCAATACGGTATGTACTTATATTTTAGTGCTTGTGTTTAGCTGCTTAACTCCTTTTTTTTAAATAGGGGATTAATAAAATAGAGGAGCAAGTCAAGAACATTTCATACTAAAAATGTGTGTGTGTGCAGAGATCAGTTTTTTGAAAACGTAAAACATTTCTGAATGTTTGTTCTGCTGAGTTCTTTAATTTTTAAATAACTCTTGTTTTTCAGTTTTAATAAAGTGATGTGATATTCATTTATCTCACACTTTGGGTTAAAAATGTGCAACTAATCAATGTTTGGATTTGTTAAACTCCTTATCTGCAGAAGGTGCCAGGTAAAAATTTGAAGCTTTTAGTTGAATAAAAGTAAAACTGTGCTTAATATTGAAATAGTAGTTGTTTTAAAGCAGTAGTTCCCGACCTTTTTTGCCATACTTTTAATCCAGTGGCATACCCTCACATATTTAGTTTTCAAAAATCTTACAAGTGGTTTATATTATTAACAAGGTAAATCAAAAGAAATAATTCAAGAGTGAGTCAACAGTAAGTGAATGTTGAGTGCTGGCTAATAGAATATGTTGATAAGTCACAAAGACTGCCTTCCAATTTTAATATGTTGAGTTTATTTTCTTCATAATGTTTTTTAAAGGTTCTTGTTATCCTTGGGGGTACCATACCACCAGCTAAGAACCACTATTTTACAGAGATTATCAAGATAAGTAAATAAAATTATCTGTTTTGTTCTAAAGATATTTGGAAACTATGTTAAAATAAAGTTGTGATGGATATTGTTGTTAGTCTGTGAAAGTAAATCTTAGCACTGAATTAGTAGGGATATATAAATAAAAGCTGTTCACATACCAGAATAGCTAACCATAACAATAATTCTGGAAAGTAATTACTCTAATAGTTATAAAAATATTGTGGAAATTAGGATCTGTTTTTAGGATGATGATATTATTCTTGATTTTTTTAAAATAAGTATGTAAAATAAATATTAGACATATACTAAACCCATAAATTTTCCTTTAAAGATGCTTTTTAAAAAAGAATTGCATATGTGTATAAGTATACCTTATGTTCTACTGCAGTCTTAACTTGTGAATAATTTTTGAAGTCATTCATTTATAGCTCATGTTTGGAGTATACGAAATCTTCCACAAAACAGGAACAACCAGTGGGCAGTGCAAACAAATCGACAATTGGTTTGTGGTCATAATTATAAGGATCCACACATAACAGTTGAATCAGTGAGTATCGTTGCTTGCAGGTTGACTCATAGCAAGGAGGCAAATATTCACAGGACTTGTGTGGAAACCTAGTTTTAAAAAATATACATAAGACAATTGTGTTTTCATTAAAGTGAGACTACTTATGACATTGAAGTACTTATTATCCAAAAATACATTTTCTCTGAAAGATTAAACCATATAAAATTTTAATATTTACTGTTCAAAATAATTTAATGGTAATATATTTCAATATCAGGAAAGATGAAAAAAAAATGCCACTAGTCCTTAACTAGCGAATAAACTTTCAGTCCTTAATTAGCGAATACACTTTCAGTCCTTAACTAGTAAATACACCTTCAGTCCTTAACTAGTAAATACACCTTCAGTCCTTAACTAATGAATACACCTTCAGTCCTTAATTAGCGAATACACT